TTGACTTTAAATTAATTAATTAATTAAAATCATTTTACATGTTAATAGTATTAAAATAAACATCAATTTTTATTTTTATATAAATTAATTCTAAAAAATTATATTTATTACACTTTTAATTTATATATTTAAGATAAAAATTAGATTAACATTATATTAATTTTAATGTGAAAGTTAATTATAAAAGAGAAGAAAGTTTGAATAAGTTGTATTCTTTTCTTCCTAAACATAAAATAAATAAAATTTTAAGCCACCTTTTTCAATCAAATAGGTCGTGTCCCCAGTGGCAAAGGTGATTGAAAATTCCATTATAAGTCTTGTGTTCAAACTTCAATGTCTGCAGGTGACAACTTTATAGGAAATTTTTCAAAAGATTTAAATTATCTGGTTGAATGGTTTAATGGTTTGTATCGGTCTGAATGATTTTATCAGTTTTAAGCAAGTCAATCATTTTACGGATTAACCATTTTATCGGTTCTAAACTTTAACTCGAGCCGTTTATTGTACCGTGTACCGGTCCGATCCGATTTTTAAAACATTGGTATAACTACCCCATTGCAGCTTTGACTTGACAAATAGATTCTCAGCCAACTGATAATTTTACACCTCAATTTTCCATTTTTCTTTTCTAGTTCTTCCGACCAAATTTCTATATTTGCTAGTGTTTGACCTACTATCATCTTATTAGCAGAGGAATTTGAATAGGCTTAAAGAAACAAACGTGTATTACCTCACTCTGCTTCTGCTCATTTGGTGTCTGGTTGATGTAATTATAGGTGACACGACTCGCAAATCTATACATGAGAAACAAAATACATACAAAATAGATACTTCTTCCTTTTTAAGAAAACAACTTCCTCCATTCGAAATTTCCAACTCTTCCTTCATTTTTCTTTGATTATAAATTTTGTATAAATTTCATGAGTTACCTATAATTTTCAAGAAATTGTTTTCTAGTAGTTAAACATTAGCCGAATTGGTAGCCACTAACTTGAAAATTTTGCCAATGTCAGGTTTAAACTTCTACAATACGCAAAACTAAGTATCACAAAGCAACCAACCTACCATGTACCAAACCCAAACTGTTTTCGTGCGTAAGTAAAATTAGGAAGAATGGAAGGAAAATATAGGGAGGAACGGTCACCAGGGAGGGAAGAAATTGGAAAGTAAGGGTACGCGCATTACAATATCCCATGGTGGGGGGAAACCGGCGTCTTGCATTCAGGATGGAGCTTCATTCTTAGGAAAGGATGATAAGTTTCAACTTTTCTGATATAAAATAGAAATGGGTTATTAAATTAACGAATTCATGATTTCCACTGCACAGCGGACTGTGTGTATTCTTTATTAATTTATTTATTAAAATATTTTTAATAAAATAATATAAAAAATGAGACATAATTTATTAAGTACATTTTAATAAGAAATTAATGCATATTAATTTTGGCTCTAAAAAAACTAGAATCTCAGCTTATATTTAAAAGTTAAAATTTTAATTTAACATTTAGAAATTTAATCAATTTTTAATATTAAATATCAAAATTTAATAAGATAAATTTTTAAAATTTAAATTAAGTTTTAATTAAATAAAATGATATAATTTAATATTAAGATTTTAATTTTTTGAAAATCAAGATTGATATGTATTTTTT